ATAGATAGATAGATAGATAGATAGATAGATAGATAGATAGATAGATAGATAGATAGATAGATAGATAGATATAGATAGAGGGCACAAGGTGAGTTGAAAATGAAGGGGTCATATCTGGAGAATAAAATTAAGGGGTGAGAGAGGTATATACTAGGAGAAGGAAAAAGCAAGAGGTAGAACAGGGTAAATTATCCCACAAAAAAAAAAACAGAGAAGAAAAGGCTCTTACAGTGGAAGGGAAATGGGAGACAGTGAGAGGGAATGAGTGAATCTTATTCTCATAGGATTTGACTTAAGCAGGGAATAACATACACACTCAATTGGGTGTGGAAATCTGGCTTACCCTACAGGAAAATAGGGGGGGAAGGGGACAAGAGAGTAGGGGAATGGTAGAGAGGAGGGCAAATTGGGAAAGGGAATAATCAGAAGCAAATACTTCTGAGGAGGGACAGGGTCAAAAGAAAGAATAGAATAAATGGGTGGGTGGGATAGGATTAAGGGAAATAGAGTTAGTTTTTCACTGTGTGTCTACTATAGAAGTGTTTTGCATAACTGCACATATATAACCTATATGTAGTTGCTTGCCTTATCAATGAGGGTGGGTGGGGAGGGAGGAAGGGAGAAAATTTGGAACCCAAAGTTTTAAAAACACATGGTAAAAAAAATTGTTTTCATATGCAACTGGGAAATAAGACACACAGGAAATGTGGTACAAAAATCCATCCTGCCCTACAGGAAAATTGAAAGGGAAGGAGATAAGAGAAGGGGGGAGAGATAGAAGGGAAGGCAGACTAGGGGAAGGGGTATTTAGAATGCATGCCATCTTGGGGTGGGGGGAGGGGCGAGATGGGGTGAAAATTTGGAACTCAAAATCTTGTGGAAGTAAATGTTGAAAACAAAAAATTAAATTAAAAAATTACCATAAAAAAAACTAGACTCCAAAATTAAAAGTCTAGGTAACTGGAAAAATAGTAGCAACATCCTAGCTGTTTCATCCTAGGTAAGTCACCTAAATATCTCATTTGCCCTGAGCAAATCTACAACAATAAATCATGGAACAGGTATTGGTCTGCACTTATAGAATTAGTCTGTCATTCACCAATGAAATTAGAGGTCCTACAGAAGGCAAAGGAATGAGAGGAAAAGAGAAAAAGAAAAGACAAAAGACAGAAACAGAAAGACAAGACAAGAGAGTCAAGGAAATGGATAGGTTTTGAGGGGAAGATGAGTGGAGTGTTAGACATGATAAGTTTATATACCTGTGAGATATCAAGGGTTATCCAGCAGGCCATTTGAAATATAGGATCAGAGCTCAGGGAAGAAATCAAATTGGATAGATTAAGGATTTATACATGAAAAGCAATTCAGCATAATAAAATCTCTAAATTCTATGATTCTATTAGTAAAATATACCATAAAGTGATCACTGAAGCTTTGGTGATAATATCACTAAAGGACAGAATGTTGTCAATGAAGAGGATGGAGCACAGAATCTTGTGGTTGTATATATTATTTTGTGGGTGGAGCAAAGAAGATGAACAGAAAATGAGTGTCTCCATCCTGGTGTTACTTCGTAGTTAAGGGGAAAATAGGCAGCAAAGTTTAATGGGGGTGATGGAAAATGTGAGGACTTCCAGGCTTTGGGATTGGGGCAAATGTCTTTTCCTTCTTCCTAACCCTCCTCTTGCTTTCTGAAAATCCCGAACAATTTCCTCTGCACAGCTAGAAGGAATACTCATTCTCACATGATAGAAAAATACATGGAATAGGAATGAAGACACTGGAGTTACCCACTATCTTCCTTATTACCATCCCCATGAGGAGTCACCCTCATCAGCAAAATTAGAGTAGAAAGCTTTAGTTTGTTGGAGAAATAAAAAATGAATGGGGAATATGGCACTTACTGCTCTCTCA